ATAAAATTATATTTATAATGATTATTTTATAAAAATATTTTTATTTACTTAATAATATAAAAATATTTATGCTTCGAACCATAAAAAGACCAACTCATTACTTATACTATTACTGTTAAAAATAAAAAAGAGATATTTTATATTTTTATATTTATTTAAAAACATTTTTTAAGAAAGAAAAAAAAGTACATACAGTTAAAGATAATAGTAGTAGCGTAGTTGGTTGTTTAAATTGTGTTGTTTTTATTAAGTGAAATATATTTTATATATTAATAAAGATAATATGTTTTTTTATTCATTTTGTTAATCAATTTGTCCTTAATTTTCAAAAATCTCTCTCTTTCATATTTCTTTTACTTAGTTTTATTTTCTGTAAAATTATTTTTCACACCATTTAAATAAGCATCTAAAAACGGCTTATATATTCTAATCTTTAATTACTCACACATATTTAACAATAATTGTTTTTATTATTTATTTTATTTTGCTACGTAAAATACACAAAAATACAAAATGTCATTCTCACTCAAGTAATAAGAAAGAGAGCTCATATACAAGATAAACATGTTTGAAAGAAAATAAAAATGAAAGTTATAAATTTATATTATAATAAAGACGGTATATTTTTTTTGTGTATACATTTTATTTATCATCCTGCTTATAATTTCCAAAAACCTCTCTGTCATAAATTTTTTTATTTTTTTATTTTGTATAAAATTATTTTTCAAACAACTCACACCATTTAAATAAATATTTAAAAATGATTCATATGTCCTAATTATTAACTACTCATACATATTTAATATTAATTATTTTGATTGTTTACTTTATTTTTATTTTTTACATAAAAGTATCGAAGACATGTGTCACCTTTATTTACATAACTATAGTATATACTATATATTTAAGTATACGAAGGAGAAATAATTTATATTATAAAAGTTATAGTCTGATTTGAAATAGATGTCTTTTTGAAGGATTTTATTTTTAAGTTTTAAAAAATAAAAGTATTAAAATTTAACTATTTTTATAAATACAAATTTTAAATTCTAAATCTTAAAATTTAAAAATTAATTATAATATTAATTGATCTAATAAATATTAATAATTTTAAAATATTTTTATTAAATAAAATATAAAAATATAAAATACCTTAACTGATGATAATAATAATAATAAGAGAAGAAAGGAATTCCGTGACGGGGAGGATGAGGATGAGAGAAGCGCGAGAGACAAGCATTTGCGATCCCCACGCGTGTCATCTCCATCCTGATCCAGTACAGCCAAAAGGAAAAAAATGTTTTTGTAATTTATATAATTACGTACATTCATTTTTTATTATTAATATAAATTATCGATATTAATAATTAAATAGCTTCAATATGCTCTTTTGTACATATTATCTGTCTTTTTTTTTCCTCTAACATAATATTTATGAATTTTGATTTTAAATTAATATTTTATTTTTTCAAATTAATATTTTTCCTCTAACATTATATGTCTTTTAAAATTAATATTTCAAATTAAATTTAAAATCTTAATCACTCATCTCTTTATATTTGGCTATTAGCAAATTTATATTCTTTAAATATTTTTAAGTTCGTATTTTTTATTGTATTTGTAAATATCAGTGGGATGCACATTTTTTTTATATTGACTTGTATATTCGTGTATAATTTTTAAAAATAAAATTCATTATCTATTATCTATTATTAGTAAAAAGAAGGACATCTTATACTTCCGTAGTTTTTCCTTTAAATTCACACATATTTATTGGTGTAATGTGTAGTTTCCATGCGAGTTTCAACTTTTAATGATAAACTTTTATATAAAAAGATTTATTTTTATTAATTATTATCATGTGACTCGTGCAACTTTATAAAGCGTCAAAAATGTCAAAAAAATTATGTGTACATCAAAATTGAGATTCGTCTTAAAAAATATTATATAGAAAGATATAAGAAATTCATTTATTCAAAGATAAAATTTATCTAATTTACTTTACTCAATAATTTGTATTCAACATCAAATTTTAACAATTTAACCATCAAATAAATTTTTTTAATACATAGATTAAGTCTGTAATTATTTTAAAAAATTGTAAAGTATTTGATACTCTATTTTATTAATTTAAATTGACATATAATTATAAAAATATTTTATACATTTATTTGAATTAATAAAATAAACTATCAAATAGATTTCAATTTTTTTGAAAATTTGTAAACTTGATTTATATATTAAAAACTTTTAATTTAATAATTTAATGGTTAAAATTTAGTGTAAAATATAAATTATTAAATATAATAAGTTCAAGTAAATTTACACTTAAAATAAGTGAATTTCAATCGTTAGATTGAAAGTTCGTATCACGTTATATGTGTATATCAAATTTTGTTAAAATTGAACAACAACTTGAAAGTAATCAAAGTATTAATATTTTAATATATTTTGAAATGAATATATTATATAAATTTTATTTTATAAGAATGAAGTATCAAATCATCTAAGGTTAATATAAAATTCTGTATATATGGTCTAAGAGTAAAGAGCTTTCAATCTAACAATTAAATTTACAAAATTCACATTTAATATAATTTAGTATAAAGTTTTTGAGCAGTGTAATACTTAGTAAAAATTAGACCGATATTATTATAATTCTCCTCTCTCTATATATATAAAAAATATTTTCACACAAACATATGTAAATGAGAATATTATATTAATATTTTTCTCTTTAAAATATTATTAAATTTTTATTATTTTTAATTTATAAATATATAATTATTTTGGTGATTACAACAAGGATAGAATATGATATGAAATAATTAAGAAAATCAATATAATTATGATCAACTTGTGTACATATAAAAATATTTTAATTAAGGTGATTAATATTATTTTAAATTGAATATAATAGTTACGACACGTGTATATATATTTTTTTCTCTGACTGTAATCCTTTCATATTTCATTCTGAAATTTTTTACCTTATATATTGTTGACTCTTCTGCAAAATGTTTATCTTCGATGACAAATAGCAAGGAAATCATATATTTATCTTCAATTGCTTGTTGTCTTTGAACTAAGTTTTAGATTTTTCACCTTTGTTGCATGATTCGACCAAAATAAAAGAGAGTGGTCTCTTTTGATTCATGAAATATATCGAAGAACTAAAAAAAGGATTACAAAAAAGTGTATATATTTATATTTTTTTTATTCTTTCTTTTTTCAACCGCAACCCTTGTGGATTTCATTCTATAACTTTTTTTTTACCGCTGTTTACGGTGGATTTCGTTTTATGGATCCTTTTTATTGACCCATCTTTTTTCAACTATTGCTTTCTGTCATTGGTAAGCCTTTTGGTTTTCAAGCTGTTATCCCTCTCCCTCCTTCCAAAATTGTTGTGTGCAAGATTTTGGATTTGGCTCATTTAAAGTAATGGTTGTGCTTTAGCGGGAATAGTTCAGACTTCAGTGTTTTAATCCTTGAGCAGCATTATCATGAGCCGCATGCAGTGCTTTTCTTTTGAACTCCAGTTTATTTTATCAAATTTTCTCAAGTATTCACTGAATGGCATTCCGTAATTTAGAGGGGAAAAACTTTTAGTTTAATTTTATTTGCACTAATTTCTTGTTACTGGCTGTAGATGGATTCTAAACTACCAATTGACCTTTTGGAAAATGTAATGCAACTGGCAATTGAAGGCTGCAAAGCAATAGCAAACTACATTAGAGAAGTAAGAACTATCGTCAATTGTGATTATACTAAGAGGAGTCAAAACATAGTTCACACTCATTTCATAACTAAAATCCTGATTTTGTTGGCTGGCAGATTTTACTGGAGAACACAAATCAACTCGAGTATCGACGAGGTGTATAGTTTTGTAGCAAAAGTATTGTTTCTTATTTGCTTCCATTTAATGCTTTCTATTTGTTTCCTATTTTACTGGAAACATTTATTTTGGTATACGGTGCTGACTAAAACGTAAATTGTAGTCTGTAGGATTGGTTTCTCATTTCTTCCAACTTGCCTTGTCGACTGAAGTAGCAAATTTATAAATTATTTTGAGTTCATGTTCGTTGTTTACCAAAAATCCCCCAAAAGTAGAAGGCATGTGGAGTGGAACTAGGGATCTGAATCTGGCACTCTAACAATTAGAGAATTAATTATCTAAAGTTAGAACCAAAATCTTATAGTGGGTTGGTTGCGTATGGTCGTTGCTAAAGAACGTTGATGTTTAATTTCATAAGTTGCCTTGAATTTTGGAGAAATAGGTACGCCAAAATTCGATAAAGAAAGCTTTGTTGTTTAATAGTTTGGAATGGGCCGTGTTGATTTTGGAACAGGCTGTTCTGGATTATTAAAAAGGCCTTAAACCCTAGTTTGGAACGGTCGTTTTGGTTTTGGAATGGGCCGTTCTGGGCTACTAAAAAGGCCTTAAGATGCTTGTTTGGAACGAGCCATATCTACATGAGTTAGAAATTGACTCAAGTATTAATGAGAATGATCCAGTTTCGTTTTCACAAGCTGTAAGTTGTGATAATTTTGAAAAGTGGTTAAATTCCATGAAAGAAGAATTAAAATCCACGGAACAAAATGATGTTTGGGACCTTGTAGAATTGCCAGAAGATTGCAAGAGAGTTGGTTGTAAGTGGGTCTTTAAGACAATAACTTTGAAATGAAAGATATGGGCGAGGCAAGTTATGTGATAGGAATAGAAATATTTTGAGATAGATCGCAAGGACTATTAGGCTTGTCTCAGAAAGCATATATCAATAAAGTACTAGAGAGATTTAGGATGGAAAAGTGCTCAGCATCGCCCATTCCAATTCAAAAAGGAGATAAGTTTAGTCTCACTCAATGTCTTAAAAATGACCTGGAACGAGAACAAATGGAAGCAATTCCGTATGCATCAGTTGTTGGGAGTATCATGTATACTCAGATCTGTACTTGACCAGATATAAGTTTTGCAGCTGGAATGTTAGGAAGATATCAAAGTAATCCAGGAATGGAACATTGGAAAGCTGCAAAGAAAGTTCTGAGATACTTATAGGGAACAAAGTGTCACATGCTTACATATAGGAGGTCTAATCACCTTGAGGTGATTGGATATTCAGACTCTAAGCTGGATAAAGTGACACTTCTCCAGGTTAATCTTCCATGTCTTGTTATTTTCTCTATTTCTTTCGTATCCAGAAAAGTAAATTAATTCAAGAAAAAGGAGAAATTTTATGCTCCCTTGCAAATTCCTGGATAAGTGATGGAGTGTGTTGCTCTTGCTTGTATATTGTGAAAGTTTCTACCGTCCTTACTCTGGGTATTACCCTTTTGAGCCCTTGAGCTCTTGACCCATCTTTTTTCAACTATTGCTTTCTGTCATTGGTAAGCCTTTTGGTTTTCAAGCTGTTATCCCTCTCCCTCCTTCCAAAATTGTTGTGTGCAAGATTTTGGATTTGGCTCATTTAAAGTAATGGTTGTGCTTTAGCGGGAATAGTTCAGACTTCAGTGTTTTAATCCTTGAGCAGCATTATCATGAGCCGCATGCAGTGCTTTTCTTTTGAACTCCAGTTTATTTTATCAAATTTTCTCAAGTATTCACTGAATGGCATTCCGTAATTTAGAGGGGAAAAACTTTTAGTTTAATTTTATTTGCACTAATTTCTTGTTACTGGCTGTAGATGGATTCTAAACTACCAATTGACCTTTTGGAAAATGTAATGCAACTGGCAATTGAAGGCTGCAAAGCAATAGCAAACTACATTAGAGAAGTAAGAACTATCGTCAATTGTGATTATACTAAGAGGAGTCAAAACATAGTTCACACTCATTTCATAACTAAAATCCTGATTTTGTTGGCTGGCAGATTTTACTGGAGAACACAAATCAACTCGAGTATCGACGAGGTGTATAGTTTTGTAGCAGAAGTATTGTTTCTTATTTGCTTCCATTTAATGCTTTCTATTTGTTTCCTATTTTACTGGAAACATTTATTTTGGTATACGATGCTGACTAAACGTAACCTGTAGTTTGTAGAATTGGTTTCTCATTTCTTCCAACTTCATTATCATGAGCCGCATGCAGTGCTTTTCTTTTGAACTCCAGTTTATTTTATCAAATTTTCTCAAGTATTCACTGAATGGCATTCCGTAATTTAGAGGGGAAAAACTTTTAGTTTAATTTTATTTGCACTAGAAACTTCTTTGCCATTTTCTGATCACCTAGGATTTTGAACACCTCTGTATTTCGAGTGTCTCCGAATTCATTTTCCGGTACTAACAACCGCATATAACTATACATTGTTCGTTTTTCTCACAAAAGTTTCACCTTTGACGATGAATAACAAAGAAATCATATGTCTATCTTCAAATGTTTTTTATCTTTGTGCAAATTTTGGATTTTTCACTTTTTGTTTTATGATTTGATAAAAATAAAGTAGAGTGTTTTCTTTTGATTCATGAGATGTGTTAGATGGCTACAAAAATTAGTCATGACCATAAGAAATTTTGCGTTACTAATTGATTCAAAACTACAATATTTTATATTCAATTTTTCAAGCGGGTTAATTGTTCTCTTTTTATTTGTATACAAATATATGGACATGATTGTAAACATTTTTAATGTATATTAAAGGTTATCATTAGATATTTTCTACAAATAATCGTTAATACATGAATGAAGTTTTTTTTTTTTGGTTCGTCCTTGGAGTATCCAGGGTCGACAGCAGTGACTAATCTCCTCGCTACGTTGGAGGCACCTCAAAGGGTGAGATAGCTGGCTCCAAGATTTAACGCGACTACATACACAAGGCAGGATTCGAACCCCTGACCTTGCTTAAGCGTGGATCAACCCCTACCGCTGAACCACACGCTTGGGGTTACATGAATGAAGCTTGTTAAATAAGAAGCGAGATCTACAACAATAATTTAATTTACAAAAGATATAATAATAATAATAATAATAATAATAATAATAATAAATATTCGACAATATATCACTAACATTTCCTGTCCACTAAATGACCAAACGTATTATTATCGGAACCCATCCTTAAAAAACACAATACTAAAAATTTAAATACGAAATGATTAAATATTAATAATATAAAGAAAATAACTATATACTTATTATTTGATGCTGAAATTTGTTTCGGTATTTATGGAATTTCAATTTGAGACGAGACTTTAAATTTTTAAATATTTTTACACAACTTAATTCTAAATGATAAAGTGCATTTAAGACTAATGTGATTATGAAGATAATTACTAGCAACATACTCATTAATATTTTTTTACTAACCAAACTTTATAGAAAACTAAAAAAAGCATGAGATGATTCATTAAATAGGTGAGACTCATTTTTTTTTTAATTTTAATAAAAAATTATGTGTTAAAAGTATTGATCTTTAGAACACACAAATCGATAATATGAAACATCAAACAAAACACATTAAATAATTTCTTGTGAGACGTGGACAAATTAACAAATTTGAATTATAATAGACTCACAAGGTCTATTCTCATTCTTACGAATCCAACACTCTTTACTTACCAATTTGGAAATGTTAGAAACATTTTGATATATAAAGGTTCAAATTTTGACCGATATAAGTAATGTGAGATTTTTTTTATAAATAAAACGTGCATACACGCATCAAAATATAAGCTAAAAATTGTATTTTTTTATTGAGTGTATGAGTTTTGGATTTTTTTTTTTTTATAAACCATCAATATATAACTTTTAGTTGAATAACATGTTGGGTTAAAATCTTAATTCAGTATTTCGATTTTGATTAAACAAATGTTAAAATAGAATTCGAATTTTTGGGGGTGTTGATATAATAGATGGTAGTTCCTAAAATTAGAAAAATATCAAATACATCTTTAAAAAAATATAATCATTGTCACTTGAATCTTTGATATTTGCAGCACACTATCATTATAATCCTTCAATTTTATAGCTTACTATTATTATAATCTACAATAAATTAAACCATAAGAATAAACATGACTAACAAATTTCATTACATTTTAGAGATTATTATAACAAGGGTTGACAATTTCAAGAACTAAACGGTAATTCATTTTTTTCGTAAAATATGTCACGTGACTATCATTTAATGTTTTATCTGAAATAAATTATAATTATTTTAGCAACCATAATTTTGTCTTTCCTTATAACAATCCAGTACACTCTTTTCTCTTATTTCAATTTGGAGATATACTTTGCCAACTTCCATAGATTACCTAAAAAGTTCCACCACCTCAAGAAGCATAATTCTATTACCAATATTTGTTCCCTTTATTCCGTTTCTTTTCTCTCTTTCCCCGTCTATAATTCAACATTCCCCGTTCATTTTTCTGACCCTTTTTAGTTTTTAGTTTTAAAACCTTGAAGAAAGCTGTGGGCTTGGATTAGCGATTTGATGGCTCGTGACGACAAGATGCAATTAAGCATTTATGGCCCTTTGGGCCTTTTCACCTAATTACTATCTCACCTTTAAAATTCCTTCCCTCTTCCCCTCACTGTAATTTATTGTTTTCTCCACAGTCCACTCAAGTTTTTATGTTTTTTCATCGTCAATGTACAGTTCAGTTTAGATAACAGGCAATTTTGTTTTTTGTTGAATTAATTCAAATTAATAATATTGTTAAGCGAAATATAAAAAAAGCTTGCGAATAGCAAAACTGACTTAAATTATTCACTTCAATAGTCAATAAACATGAGATTCATCTAAGATTAAAAAATATTACTAATATTCCTCCTAAGATATATTTCTAAACATTTGTTTTATAGTGCGGATGTTTCTAAGGTTTTTGTACATATATTTATCGAGTGGACAAAGGCACAAAGGCACAAGCATCTAAACTACAACTACACTACGAACATGAGTTTAATCACCCAATTGTTTGCGATACAACTTACAACTAAAAATATGGACAAAGAATGCCGAAATTCCTCGAATGTATCATCTAACGGTGGGAGTCGTTCCCAAAAATAAATAAATAATTTATGTAGTATTTTAAAATTAATAATTAAAAATTAATTTACATTTAGTTATTAAAAAAAATAAGAAGATATATCGATTTTTTTTTATAATAAGAGGTTAAGTAAATATAATATAAAAAAAATCAATGTTTCTTGTTCAATGAGTGAATAATTGATGTTCAGTGTTTACGCAATGAAACTGGTGCAGCAGTAATCATTAAATATTTGCCAAACTTTATGGCAGTAATGGTCGGGAGAGTCATGGTAACGTCCTACTTCTGTATATGTAGTGTGTTTTCTTCTCTAATTTCTTTCTCTTTCTTTCCCAACTGAAGAATCCGAAATAATATAGGAAAAATAAAAGGTTATAACATATCCTGTAGCATATGCTAGCAAACTCAAGTCAACAGGCAAAAGGTCTCTAGACTATTTATTTATAGCACATGCAGAAACAAACTGTGAGAAGAACAAAGAAATATATATATATTAATTAATCACTAATGGGTATTGTGTTGTAGTGAAAGGAAGAAAAGTATATATAAAGATGGCTCAAAAGGCATGGCAAGAATCAAATAATAAGTGTGATATATATATAGTGAGTGACCTTTGGGTGAAGGAGAGTGTGTACAATTGTCCCAAGAATTGGTAGTGGCAGCAGCACTAGGATCTTTCCAGCCAAGCCACCTCACTTCTAATAGTTTATTGAAAGCTTCCTCTCCAATATCAGATTCAACGTTGCGATTGATTTGTCCTGTTATGTAGTATAGAATTTTAAGGAAGACCCACCAAATATATTTCAGGAAAAGAAAAAGCGTGGTGGCATGCATTAAAAGAGAGAGACTATGGCCAAACCATTGAAAACGACACCTCTTATTAGGTTAATATATCACTACAACTGATCATCTTACATATTCATACACTTCATCATTTTGCTCCATAACATTTCAACCCAACACTTATTATCCAATTAAACCCAAATCTTAATTCTACACTTTTATGTCTTCTTTCATCACTTTCACTACTCACTATAGTATTACTAAACCCATTTTCACACAAGTCTTTATCAAGAAAAATATGCTACTAGAGTAGTCATTTTTTTTTTTAAATTAAAAGGCCAAAATACAATAAAATAAAACTAAATTACACTTTTGTTTTCTCTTTAATTTTAGTCCCATTATTTTTAATTATATAATTTTGATTCCTTAATTTAAAAAATTCATAATTTTGTTCAACCATCAATTCTACACATATTTTTACCGATTTTTTTTTTAAGTTACTTAATATAAAAGTAAAAAAAAAAATCACATGTAAAAACTTTTCCACTGTCATTGCATATATCATTTTATCATATTTTTATGTATAAATATAAAAAACTTTTCATTTTGTATGAAAAATATTTAATTTTAAAAATAAAAGTTATGTTTTGCACGATAAATTTATTATTCATTTAACATATTATAGTTAACCTAATAGATATAGATAAAACATAATAATCTTAAGTTTTTAAAGCAAGACTGACTTAAGTATGAAGTCAACAAAAACTCCTTATTTTAGGTTTCCTTTAAGAAAAATTATTTTTTCTTAATTAATATTCATATTTTTTTTAAGGTTTATAACTTAAAAATTGCTTTTTGTATTTTCAAAGGCCCAGATTAAAAAGTCTATCTCTAAAAGATATATAAATATAATTTTTTATAAAGTTTATATCTAAAGTATTCTTTATTAAAATTTTTTTAAATATATTTCATTTCAAATTTTATTTTAGATCTTAATGATGTGTTGGCACATGACAATTTTTTTTATATATAAGAATCATAAATCTTGGAAATCATTATTCCTAGATCAGTGTTCGTTTCTAGATTTTTTTTTTTTTTTTATCTTCTTCGTTTGGAATATAATTAAAATATATATATTTCAAGAAGTTATTGAAAAAATCGACCCTGAACTGATGTAATTAAAACACGCATGATAGCACCATCCTGAAATGAAAAGAGTTAGTGGAGTCGAAAAATAGAGAAGAGTGACAATTCGACTACACTGTTTATTAGATTAATGGGTAACCTTTGCAGTA